CCCCAGGGAAGTGCAGCACCTCAGGATGCTAGAGACCAAATTCCTGCACATACAGCTTCACCAGGTTTTGGAGTTTGTTTAATCTGGAGATCTGTAATACAGGTGACATGCAGGGGTGGGAACAGGTTGCAGGGACTGAGCAGAAGCTGGAGATCGACTAGCTGTGGCTGTGGATCTCAGAGTCCAGGTGCTGACTTAGCAGAATGAGATTCAAGAATGGATGGTTGGTGCAGATGGGAAAAGTGACGGCCTTGGCTCTTTTCCTGTTGTTGTTGTATGGGCTAGAGTTGGAACTGACCCATAGCTGACCCTCTAGCGGGTTTTAGAGTTATAAATCATACAAGAAGAGATTGCCCAACCTTCTACTGCAAAGCAGTTGGTGGATTCAAACCATGTGCCTTTGGGATTGCAGCACAGCTTTTTAAGAGGATACTAGGAGTCTGGATGACAAAAATAGTTATGCACTCAGCTATTAGCTGGAAGCGTGGCAATTTGAACTCACCTAAAGGTCATAGTCTTAAATATCTTATGGAACGGCTTTACTGTACACATGTGGAATAGTCATCAGAATTTATTCCATAGCAATGACCGACAGAAAAATATATGTAGAGTCTCTTCTTTAGAGATGTTTAGTTTCTCTAGAGAGGAATCCTCCAACTTCAAACTCAGGATGAAAAAATGCACTTTCTATGTGGGTGGGACTGTGAGGTAGGGGCCAAGCTTCCTTTTGCATATATTGTTTTTGAGCCTCACACCTCAATTTTGCCTTATGTTTAACTTACTGTCCTCAAGTCTAATGCCTATTTGTCCAAGAATAAACCTCCAGCCTCTTGCTAGGGAGAGATCTTATATGTCTGGCTCGGGGTGTGTGTTTGTGTTAAGTGGGATTACCTTCAGACTCCCTAGCAACATCCATGGTAGATCTCAAAGTCTTCTATCTCCTCTGTCTTTGTAATGATCTTGTATTTCTTAATGGATATCTTTGATGTTATCCCACAACTCCTCTGGCCTTTGAGCATTAGCATTTAATGTTTTTAAATCTAGAGATGATTTTTAAATTCAGGTGGGATAGGCCATATTTTGGTTCTTGTAGACTTGTTTTGATTTTCTTCAGCTTCAACATCGAGAGAACAAAAATCTTCACCACTGAGCCAAAAGATAGCATCGTGATAGATATAGAAAACTTGAAAGATTTCATTTTCCTTAGATCTATACAATCTATATTCTTGGTACCAATAGTCAAAACATCAAAAGATTTACAGTGTTGGGAAAATCTTCTGTCAAGGACATTTACAAAATGCTGATGAGCAAGGATATCAGTTTTAAAGACTAAGATGGACCAAGCTGATCCACGCCATCGTCTTTTTCAATTACTTGCTATGTATAGGTAAGTTAGACGATGTAGTGTTTGAGAAGAGTACTTAGTACCTCATTGACTGCTAAATGAGCCAACAAGTTCATCTTGGAGAAAGTGCAGATGGAGTGCCCCTCAGAGGCTAGGATGGTAAAGGTTGGCCTCCCATACTTTGGGCATGTTGTTAGGAGGGGCCAGTCTTTGGAAAAGGACATCATGCTCGGAGGAAACGTATCAGTGAAAGAGAGAAGACCTTCCACGAGATGGAGTGACATAGGAACTGTAACCAGGATTCTTGTTAGGTGCCATTGAGTCACCTGTGACTCAGCAACCCTATGTACAATAGCTCTGTTGTGTTTTTTTTTTTGTTTTTTAAAATACTGGTTTATTTACAAAATGCAAATACATTTTTTCACACTGGATCCTTCCCATTTCCTTTACCTCCTCTCCCTGAACACTGACCTCTACCCTATATCCTAACTGAGCCACTTTCACTAACTCTGACACATGTACCCTCATTACCCCACTTACTGTGTCAATTCATCTCATCTGGGGTCTTCCTCTTCTGTGCTGTTCCGCACCTTTGAAAGTATGATGTCCTTCTCTAAGGACTGGTCTCTCCTGGCCACATGCTTAAAGTATGTAAGATGCAGCTTAAAAATCCTAGCTGCCAAGGAGAAACTTGGTTTCACTCAATCCAAGACACCTATTCGTTCTCCTGGTGGTCCATGGTATGTTCAGTATTCTTCTCCAGCATCACAGTTCATAGGGATCAATCATTCTTCTGTCATCCTTAGTTATTTTCCAGCATACAAAGTAATTGCCTGGATCAGGCCCACCCTAATCTCTCTAGACTGACAGCATTGCTCTTGAGCACTTTGAAGAGTCCCTGAAACAGACTTCCCTAATGAAATTAGGGAATCTTTTCATTTTCTGAATGCTAGTGCCAAGAGTGTTGAGAGACTGAGTAAGATGGGTTCAATAATGTATACTGCACTGAAACAGAGGAGGGAGA